GATAAATCTCCCTAGACTTATCCAATGGCTGTGAACATTTAAAACTAACACGCGTCTCAATAAGTGTCCAGTTTTAGGGTGTTACACAGAATTATACCAAACAACATGAATCAAACATGCAYTTTATTTATTTACACTAAATATCAAAAGTATATCAAATCGGATTGAAGCTAAGGGCATACAAAACTGTCTAACAAGGCCATGGCTGTTCGTTGCTACAATTTGAATGCTTGAACCAACTCAACGGATGCAAGCTCCTGAAAGTGGCAATGCATGAACGTGACGGTGATGAGGATTATTAATAAATTCAGAAAAGTTACAAGCAGAACAATGGAAATAGAGCAATTAGTAACCCACACACCAACAAGAAGTGTCCATTCAGTTATCCTACGAAATTAAAAGAAAACATAACTGAATTAAACACGGGATGTTTCCTATACTTACATTGATATAAAAAATAGGGAACAACGGTGAAGCACAGGAGTCAGTGAGCTGATCGCCAAAAGTAGCAATGCCTCGAGAAATCAAAAACTTCACATATAACCAAAGCAATTTAGTAACCCATACATCCCAACGAGAACACCAACTGAATCAGAAAATTAAGAAGCTTACACCGAAGAGTTGATCGGCTTCCTTACAGTTTTTCCGCAAGAGATTATGTACCCTGCTCGCAAGTCGAGCATTCTTCGTGCCTGCATGCATAAGACCCAAGGATATTATAGCCACTACCACGACCGACAGACCTTGTCTTCCAAAAATGATAAAATTTAGGTATGCAGACATTCTACAAAAAATGCATACCTGTACAACTTCCGCATCCGTATCGCTTCCGAGTCTCCTTTGCGCTCACGCCCTTCACCTGTCAAGAATATATAATCAGGAACAGGTGGACGAGAAATAGTTTACAAGTAAATATATAAGAAATGGGTTAGAGTGGCTTATTCTGGACTCCAGCGTATGCAAGGCCTCGGCGGACTACTGCTTCAATTCGAAAGCTTGAATCAGCTCCAATGACGCAATCTCATGGAAGTGGCAATGCCTGTAGAAGCCATGGGGAGTATTAGAAAATTAAAAGAAGTTACAACCACAAAAAATTGCAATAAAGCAAGAGAAAACCTGACAAAAAGTTCCAACAGATATAACCAATGATGGCTTACACTATCGCAGTCATTCTGGTACGGTAGTTGACAATGCGAACCCATTAGAATGTTCCTGCAATGAAAAGGCAGAAATTGCATTAGCATAATTTATTAATTCGTGCGAATCCAAAACCAACTTCGCAAGACAAAATCTTATGCCTCAATAACGAAGGTACGAACATCGAGTGCAGTTTTGAAAGGTCCTTACCTCGAAGTACAGGTCCGAAGGGAGAAGGAAAAGGGATACCAACCTTGCTGCAACACAATCGCTATCATCGTTCATGTTCTTTATGTTAGACAGTTTTGTATGCCCTTAGCTTCAATCAGAATGATGTACTTTATGAGTTTATTGTAAATGAATAAAAGTGCATATTTGATTCATGTTCCCTTGGTATATTTCTGTGTAATACCCTTAAATTGGACACTTAAAGAGACTCGTGTTAGTTT